TCAGTATGACCTACAAATACCACTTTTAGACAAATCCGTGAAAAAAGTTGGCAAAAATCATCAAAATACCGAATATCGCGAGGTACCGTTATATGGTGGGCTATAGCAAAACGTTGACCTATACATATAATGTATCGTCACACGAGCTAGAATAGAAACCATTATGACCTACAAATACCAATTTTTAGAAAAATATGTGAAAGAAAATTGGCAAAAATTATCAAAATACCGAATATCGCGAGGTACCGTTATATGGGGGCTATACCAAAACGTTGACCTATGTTTCGTCACACGAGCTAGAAACCATTATGACCCACAAACACTATGGGGACTATACCAAAACGTGGACCGATATATCTTATTTTCAATGCCAACCATCTTAGACACAATGCAAATTTTGACGCTCTACGTCAATTAATGTGGGCTGTATCGTGATTTCAACAGACACACTGACAGACAGACGGACATCATTAAATCGAATTAGGTCAACGGGAATATTTAGGGATGTTACAAACGGAATGACAAAGTTAATATACCCTCCTTTCCAAAGTGAAGGGTATAATAAAAAATGGTGAGACTTAATCCCATTATTGTTGTTTTTATAAAAACTGTTGGGGCAACCCACATTAACAGTATGGCATCTCATGTTGCAACATCCTATACGGCAACGCTCATATAATAGGACGCCGTGCTACCGCCATTTCAGCTTGCGCAGTCTTGTTCTGTCTGTCACTCGAGTCTGACTCACTACATTGTAACTTCTTCATTCCTTTTAAATTAGTAGCTGTGAACGCTCATCATCCAATAAATCTTACACCTTTAGTATTAACAAACATTGGCTTTTATTTCAAACCATAAAAGCACAACAAAAGTGGCGACGAGGATAGTGGAAATTGATCAATAATTGCACACACAACAATCCGCAAAAATGTCTCAAGACATAATTCTACAATTGTTAACAGAGCAACAAAAGCAATGTCGCAACAAACGCAACTGCTAAAGCATATGGCTGATCTTCTTCAAGCACAAGGAACACCAAATTCACCACAAACATCAAATTCATCCAAAGCAGCACCAATGGAATCACTAGCACAGTCAATGACAGCATTCGTGTACGAGCCAGAGAGCGGTCTGATATTTCAAGCGTGGTACAACAGGTTTGTGCATGTTTTCGAAAAAGAAGCAAGCTCACTCGAAGAACATGACAAAGTGGCCTTGTTATAGAGAAAAATGTCGAACCAAGTACATGAAAGGTTTGCCAACTACGTATTACCAGCAAAACCTGAAGATATGACTCTAAAGGATACAGTAGAGAAACTCAAGAAACTCTTTGGTAAAACAAAACACAAGTCTCACAAAGATACAAATGCCTTCAGCTAGCAAAAGGCGACAGCGAAGATTTCAGAGAGTACGCAAGCAGAGTAAACCTACAATGCGAACTATTCAAAATGAAAAAACTGAAAATCGACCAATTCAAACGTCTCATTTTCGTCAAGGACTCAAGTCAGCAAAAGACCACGACATAAGACTTCGCTTACTAAAGGTACTGGATGATGAAAACACTACAATGAACCTAGATCAACTAGTAGACGAAACACAACGAATTCTAGATCTCAAATCGGACAACATTCTCATTGAACATCAATCAAAAATCTTCTGTTCACTCAACAAGCACGCAAAAGACTTTAAGAAGCACAAAACACCCAATTCACCCTGTTGGTATTGCGGAGACCTTCACTACGTCAAATTTTGTCCTTTCCAGAAACATAAATACACAACATGCAATCAAGTGGGTCATAAAAATAACTTTTGCAACATCGCTAAGACTGGTAAGAATTTCAAATCATCATCTGAAAACAACCAGAACGAATTCAAGAAATACAGCAATTCAAGGAAATCATTCAAAACTAAGACAGTTTTCAAAACACAACATTAATTTCCGCGACTTAAGGAAATACACAACTGTCCTATTTAACAACAATCCTGTAAAACTTCAAATTGATACTGCGTCAGACATATCAATTGTATCTATCAACACATGGAAAGCTATAGGTAAGCCTGAAGCCTACGAAACTTTTGACAACGCTAGCGACGCAAACTCAATCAAGTTCCTAGGAGAATTTCAATGTGACGTCACAATCGACAAAACATCAAAAACATTAAATGTTATATAACAGATATAGAAAAACTCAATATCATGGGAATCGATTGGATTCAATCATTCAATCTATGGCAGAAACCAATAACCTCATGGTGTCATAAAATAACCTTTGTTGATGAAATAGCAGAATCGAAAACGAATTATCAAACAGTTTTTGATAACAGTACCCCAGGTCTGTGCAAAACAAAAGTCAACAATCACGAAAAACCCCCAGATGACTTAATAGTGGCTTCAATATCATTCGAAGAAGACATACGTAACGAGGTAAATGAAACTATCTCAGTTCTCCGAGTATCATTTAAAATAATCGTCGATGCAACAACAAAAGACACGGATTTACAAATGGTCCTCAAATACATTCAAACAGAATTTTACAATTATTCAATTTTTCAACCGCAATGAAAATCTTTCGATGGTTGCATTCTTTTCAATAATCGTATAGTAATTCCTAAATCATATCAGAGACAAATCTTACAACAACTTCACAAAGGACACTTATCAACAGAACGCAGCAAAGCCATCGCCAGAAGTTATGTTTATTTGCCAAACATCGACAAACAAATTGAAGACTTTGTTCGGAAATGCAAAAATTGTCAACATGCGGCAAAAAGTCCAGTGAAAACAAATCTTTGCCCATGGCCATTAACTTCACACCCTCTTGAAAGGATACATATAGACTATGCTGGTCCAGAAAATGGTAAATATTATCTTCTTATCATCGACTCGTATTCAAAATACCCTGTTATCTACGAGACAACAACGACAACCACATATGCAACATTAAAAATGTTAAACGGATACTGTGCACTCTTCGGAAATCCTGAACAATTAGTCTCGGACAACGGAACACAGTTCTGTTCAGAACAATTTGAGAAGTGGTGCAGCAAAAAAGGCATTAAACACACAAGGACTGTTCGTTTTCATCCAAGTTCAAATGGACAAGCCGAGCGTTTCGTTGATACACTTAAACGGGCATTAAAAAAACTCGAAGGGGAAGAAACGCCTACGGAATCTCTCCAAACCTTCCTAGAAGTCTACAGATCCACACCAAATCCCAACGCACCAGAAGGTAAGTCTCCAGCAGAATCCTTCATCGGAAGAAAAATGAGAACTGTCTTCGACGTTCTAAGGAAACAACAATCGCCTGAGTATAACGTCAATCACAAAATGGAACAGCAGTACAATACCAAACACGGTACCAAAAACAGAGAGTTTAGCAATGGAGAATTGGTCTATGCAAGAAACTTCAAAGGAAACAAAAGTTACTGGACAACAGGCGAAATAGTCGAGCGTAAAGGAAAAGTCATTTATAACACTCTAATCGAGGTTGGGGACAGAAAAATTCTATACTATACCAAATACTATACCAAAACTTGAACCTATACATCAGCAAACGAAAATAAACTATTGAAAACGTTTACGATAGTTTCGTTCTGTATTTCTTTGAAGTACGAAACGAAATAAAACCGATATTAAGATAACGGGACTCGTTTCTTATTTTGTACTGATTTGTAGATGATTGGAAACAAAAACATAACTGAAATATACTCTTAATGTACCAGTCATCATTTCGCACTGCAAACGTTTATCGGCGATTCTTTCGTAAACGATGCAGCTCGGCAACTCGCAGCCGAAGTACATTAAGGCAATCATATTGTTTGTGTACTTCTGACATTGAAATGTTTGTGGTTTGTTTAATTTGGAGTGCAAAATGATTGAAAAAAATTTAATAGTATGTGTCTTCGTAAGATGGGTGCGTTAATCGTTTCGTTTGTTTTTGTCCGCTGCTATACATACAATTTTTCGCCACCGGGGCTAGAACCCATTATGACCAACAAAATTTTGCAAAAATCATAAAAATACCGAACGTGGACCTATACATACAATATTTTGTCACATGAGCTAGAAATCAGTATGACCTACAAATACCACTTTTTAGACAAATCCGTGAAAAAAGTTGGCAAAAATCATCAAAATACCGAATATCGCGAGGGTACCGTTATATGGTGGGCTATAGCAAAACGTTGACCTATACATATAATGTATCGTCACACGAGCTAGAATAGAAACCATTATGACCTACAAATACCAATTTTTAGAAAAATATGTGAAAGAAAATTGGCAAAAATTATCAAAATACCGAATATCGCGAGGTACCGTTATATGGGGGCTATACCAAAACGTTGACCTATGTTTCGTCACACGAGCTAGAAACCATTATGACCCACAAACACTATGGGGACTATACCAAAACGTGGACCGATATATCTTATTTTCAATGCCAACCATCTTAGACACAATGCAAATTTTGACGCTCTACGTCAATTAATGTGGGCTGTATCGTGATTTCAACAGACACACTGACAGACAGACGGACATCATTAAATCGAATTAGGTCAACGGGAATATTTAGGGATGTTACAAACGGAATGACAAAGTTAATATACCCTCCTTTCCAAAGTGAAGGGTATAATAAAAATGGTGAGACTTAATCCCATTATTGTTGTTTTTATAAAAACTGTTGGGGCAACCCACATTAACAGTATGGCATCTCATGTTGCAACATCCTATACGGCAACGCTCATATAATAGGACGCCGTGCTACCGCCATTTCAGCTTGCGCAGTCTTGTTCTGTCTGTCACTCGAGTCTGACTCACTACATTGTAACTTCTTCATTCCTTTTAAATTAGTAGCTGTGAACGCTCATCATCCAATAAATCTTTACACCTTTAGTATTAACAAACATTGGCTTTTATTTCAAACCATAAAAGCACAACAAAAGTGGCGACGAGGATAGTGGAAATTGATCAATAATTGCACACACAACAATCCGCAAAAATGTCTCAAGACATAATTCTACAATTGTTAACAGAGCAACAAAAAGCAATGTCGCAACAAACGCAACTGCTAAAGCATATGGCTGATCTTCTTCAAGCACAAGGAGCACCAAATTCACCACAAACATCAAATTCATCCAAAGCAGCACCAATGGAATCACTAGCACAGTCAATGACAGCATTCGTGTACGAGCCAGAGAGCGGTCTGATATTTCAAGCGTGGTACAACAGGTTTGTGCATGTTTTCGAAAAAGAAGCAAGCTCACTCGAAGAACATGACAAAGTGGCCTTGTTATGGAGAAAAATGTCGAACCAAGTACATGAAAGGTTTGCCAACTACGTATTACCAGCAAAACCTGAAGATATGACTCTAAAGGATACAGTAGAGAAACTCAAGAAACTCTTTGGTAAAACAAAAACACAAGTCTCACAAAGATACAAATGCCTTCAGCTAGCAAAAGGCGACAGCGAAGATTTCAGAGAGTACGCAAGCAGAGTAAACCTACAATGCGAACTATTCAAAATGAAAGAACTGAAAATCGACCAATTCAAACGTCTCATTTTCGTCAAGGACTCAAGTCAGCAAAAGACCACGACATAAGACTTCGCTTACTAAAGGTACTGGATGATGAAAACACTACAATGAACCTAGATCAACTAGTAGACGAAACACAACGAATTCTAGATCTCAATCGGACAACATTCTCATTGAACATCAATCAAAAATCTTCTGTTCACTCAACAAGCACGCAAAAGACTTTAAGAAGCACAAAACACCCAATTCACCCTGTTGGTATTGCGGAGACCTTCACTACGTCAAATTTTGTCCTTTCCAGAAACATAAATACACAACATGCAATCAAGTGGGTCATAAAAATAACTTTTGCAACATCGCTAAGACTGGTAAGAATTTCAAATCATCATCTGAAAACAACCAGAACGAATTCAAGAAATACAGCAATTCAAGGAAATCATTCAAAACTAAGACAGTTTTCAAAACACAACATTAATTTCCGCGACTTAAGGAAATACACAACTGTCCTATTTAACAACAATCCTGTAAAACTTCAAATTGATACTGCGTCAGACATATCAATTGTATCTATCAACACATGGAAAGCTATAGGTAAGCCTGAAGCCTACGAAACTTTTGACAACGCTAGCGACGCAAACTCAATCAAGTTCCTAGGAGAATTTCAATGTGACGTCACAATCGACAAAACATCAAAAACATTAAAATGTTATATAACAGATATAGAAAAACTCAATATCATGGGAATCGATTGGATTCAATCATTCAATCTATGGCAGAAACCAATAACCTCATGGTGTCATAAAATAACCTTTGTTGATGAAATAGCAGAATCGAAAACGAATTATCAAACAGTTTTTGATAACAGTACCCCAGGTCTGTGCAAAACAAAAGTCAACAATCACGAAAAACCCCCAGATGACTTAATAGTGGCTTCAATATCATTCGAAGAAGACATACGTAACGAGGTAAATGAAACTATCTCAGTTCTCCGAGTATCATTTAAAATAATCGTCGATGCAACAACAAAAGACACGGATTTACAAATGGTCCTCAAATACATTCATACAGAATTTTACAATTATTCAATTTTTCAACCGCAAGGAAAATCTTTCGATGGTTGCATTCTTTTCAATAATCGTATAGTAATTCCTAAATCATATCAGAGACAAATCTTACAACAACTTCACAAAGGACACTTATCAACAGAACGCAGCAAAGCCATCGCCAGAAGTTATGTTTATTTGCCAAACATCGACAAACAAATTGAAGACTTTGTTCGGAAATGCAAAAATTGTCAACATGCGGCAAAAAGTCCAGTGAAAACAAATCTTTGCCCATGGCCATTAACTTCACACCCTCTTGAAAGGATACATATAGACTATGCTGGTCCAGAAAATGGTAAATATTATCTTCTTATCATCGACTCGTATTCAAAATACCCTGTTATCTACGAGACAACAACGACAACCACATATGCAACATTAAAAATGTTAAACGGATACTGTGCACTCTTCGGAAATCCTGAACAATTAGTCTCGGACAACGGAACACAGTTCTGTTCAGAACAATTTGAGAAGTGGTGCAGCAAAAAGGCATTAAACACACAAGGACTGTTCGTTTTCATCCAAGTTCAAATGGACAAGCCGAGCGTTTCGTTGATACACTTAAACGGGCATTAAAAAAACTCGAAGGGGAAGAAACGCCTACGGAATCTCTCCAAACCTTCCTAGAAGTCTACAGATCCACACCAAATCCCAACGCACCAGAAGGTAAGTCTCCAGCAGAATCCTTCATCGGAAGAAAAATGAGAACTGTCTTCGACGTTCTAAGGAAACAACAATCGCCTGAGTATAACGTCAATCACAAAATGGAACAGCAGTACAATACCAAACACGGTACCAAAAACAGAGAGTTTAGCAACGGAGAATTGGTCTATGCAAGAAACTTCAAAGGAAACAAAAGTTACTGGACAACAGGCGAAATAGTCGAGCGTAAAGGAAAAGTCATTTATAACACTCTAATCGAGGTTGGGGACAGAAAAATTCTAGTACGAGCTCATACTGATCAACTTCGACATAGAGAATCGGTAGAGTCAAGCAGTCAAGATCGACAAAAACTACCATTGGACGTACTACTTGAAGAATTCGAAATCGCTTTGCCTAAACATCAAGAACATTTTGCAACTCAAACAGGTTCACCAAACTGGACACCTCAAAGAATAACAAGTCGCAGACAACCAGTCAAACCTATTTCAAGATCACCTTCTCATCTTAAGGAGGGAGATGTTGGGGCAACCCACATTAACAGTATGGCATCTCATGTTGCAACATCCTATACGGCAACGCTCATATAATAGGACGCCGTGCTACCGCCATTTCAGCTTGTGCAGTCTTGTTCTGTCTGTCACTCGAGTCTGACTCACTACATTGTAACTTCTTCATTACTTTTAAATTAGTAGCTGTGAACGCTCATCATCCAATAAATCTTTACACCTTTAGTATTAACAAACATTGGCTTTTATTTCAAACCATAAAAGCACAACAAAAACAACGTTTGTTGTTTATAGTGGAGAATGATGGTAATTTTACCAGGGAGTAAGGCAAGGAATACCTAAATTTCGGAAAGAGCCACCAATCCTCATCAGTTCTTTGTATGGGATATTCTCCCCAGGAGTTATTTTAAAAGTAACTCCTATTACAAAAAATCTTTTTTTACCCAAATGACGAGATTGTGAGCTCAATAGAAGAGGAACCAAACAATTACCTAAATCTAAAATTCTATTGGAAAAACTTCTAAATCTTACAATCGCACTTATAAAGATTTTCATTTCTCTCCACTTGTTATGCTTTCGTTTTACATGAACGTTACAAAAAAAAATAACAATAATGTTTTGTTTTTATAAAAACAATAATAATAGGATTAAGCCTGACCATTTTCCAACAATAAAATACCAACAGTTCTGATCGGTGCGATGTAATGGATGCAGAGAATGAGTTCGGTGCACATCATAAATTGTTCTGGATTAAGTCGGTTGCGAGACTACAACGAATGAGGGTATATTGCGTCGTGCTGCAGCAACGAAGTTCCCAGCGAGTCCACATGCCCGTCGTCCTCATCTGAGTCTTCGTCGGAGTACGAAACTCCACCGTGGGTGAATGTAACTTAAAGTACTTTACGGGAACGCTTTACCAAATATGATGGGCCATACTAATTTATAAAAGGCTTATATCACATTACATAACATAAACTAATTAAATTTCTTAAACTACATATCTTAAGTTTTTGTAAAGGCTTTGTGAGTGTATTTGCTATCATGTTGGACAATGTTCAAATATAACAGCTTCCGATTGACATTAGTCTCGTAGAAAATAATATTTCACGTCGATATGTTTATTTCTTGGATTTACTTTCAGATCTTGCATTAATTTCAGTCAGTTTTAATTATCTTCAAAAATCGCAGGCGTAGTCATACTTAATTTGAATTCCTTCATAAGTTGAATGGACCACAAAAGTTCTTGAGATGCTTCAGCAAGAGCGACATACTCAGGCTCCGTTCAAGAAAACGTAACATTTGGTTGCTTTCTGCATCGCGAAGCTTAATAAAATATTCGATTTACGACCGTTGATGTCTCCGGCCCAATCGGCATCCGTATTACACACACTTTTTATATTTTTAGTGCCCTTTAAGTATCGTAGAACCCTATAATTCTATATAGTGCACATCCGTAGGACTACTTACATTCCTGGATAGCCAAGAAAATATCAGGACCAGTATTATTTGAAATATACAGCAATGATCCAATAGCTTTTCAATATACGTTATTATTTTCAAATAAAACTCAAAACATAAGTTATTGAATCTGCATCACCTTTAACTACATACAAACAGGGCTGTTTTTTTCTTTGTTGAAACGAAGATTCCAATAACGTGCCGACTTAGTTGGTCCATATGGGCTACGTATTAATTTACATACTAGATGTTCATTTCCAGGTAAAATAAATCCTTCAGGTTAATCTACATAAATCTCGGCACTCAACCCACCATATAAAAATTCCGTCTTGATATGTATATGATATATTCATGATGACCTGCAGTAATCAATAAGCTCCTAATTGGTGATTGTTTCACGAATAGTACTAAGATCTCGCCATACTTCTGTGAAAACCTCCTTGCAACAAACCTCGTTTTATAATTTTTCTCACCATCAGCTGCCTCTTTAACCTTAAAGATCCACTTACTGACAACTGTTTTCATGTCTGTTGGTAGTTTCACCAAATGTCATGTTTTATTTTATTCAGCGCTTTCATTTCCGATTTCATGGCTTTGAACACTGCTCTTTATCTGGTCTAGACACAGCCTCCAGATTATACTTTCCGCAACATCATCTAATATTTTACGTTTTTGTTTACTTACGTGCACATACGCCGCACATGCATACATCTGGATATGACTCAAATTGGGAGAGATTCAAAAGGTTTAACGTCTACAGATGCTGACAGCATGCGGTTCTGAATATAATTGGCGCTATTCACAGCCTCTGCACAATATTTCAATAAAAAATGTAAGTCAAATAACGTACATCTGCCCATTTCTACCAGGCTTCCGGTTTTCCGTCACTTTATGCATTATATCTTTTCTTTTGAAATATTTTTTCATTTTCTTATTACAAACTCTCCACCTTGATCAGTTCGTAGAACCTGCAAACATTTGATTCTCACACATTTCAACTAATTCCTTTATTTTCTCAAATGCTTGATCCTTCGATGATAAAAAATAAAAAGTGCAATGCCGGCTAAAATCGTCGGTCAGTGCCATAAATATTTATTTCCCGAGTGTGTTACATTTTGCATAGGGGCACATAAATTGCAATGCACTAAATCCAATAATATACTCTGCGATTTTGTTTCTGACTTCTTTGTAAACACTTGTCTTGTTTGCTTTGCCGATACAGAATTGCATTTGTTGGACTTAATTCCTTCTACTTTATTTTAGTTCACTACAGTTTTAATTATTTGCAAATTTCTATGACCATGCCGTCTATGCCACGTATGCAAATACTACTATT